GCTAATAGAGATGCTTTATTTGGTGCTTAACTCTTAGGAAAGCATGTGGTCACCAGTTTTGTCTATGACTTCCTTTGTTGTTTAAACCTCATAATCAGCTAACCAGACAGAATCTTTGATATAAAATCACATCTCTTAATGTCAAAACGTATAGGTTGGTAGAGTGTATTATTTAGTTTTCCCTTCATCATTTTTTTCTGAAGAATTCCCCACCTACCTCACATAAAGTTCCAGTTTAGGGAAAGCTGGATAGAATGAAGAAACACAGGGGGAATAACTTCAACTTATTCAGTTATCTGAGCGTCAAGATATGTCACATTTGGTAATTGAACTGGGTTCAGAGGCTCCTTATGAAACAGATTTCTGAATTACCTTTTTGCACTCCAGAAAACTCGAGGTGACCTTCAGGCGAAATTTTCAACATGGGGGGAAAAGCTGGGGTGGGTTTCTGAGCAAAGATGAAATGACAGGAGTATGTTTTTATTCATTGTTCTCTGAAATTCACTGGTAATGAACTGTATGGCAGGCCTGTAGTTCACTGACCTGATTTTTTAGTTCTGAGTTCGATTTTGGGAATTTTCATTCCTTTTGTGTCTGGCCTCAGAAAACTAGGCCACTTTTTTCCTGTTCTTAAACAAAAATTGTTGCAGTTAACATAATCCAGCCAACAATTTAGCTACCCATTGCTTGACTTCTCCACACTTTTTACTGTGGAATATCAAATCAGTTGTGAGTCTGCCAGGCAAAATATCCAAGACAAATGTGGGGTTTTTTCTGCTTTGTGAGATTTTTTTCATCCTTATTGATATATTATGTTGAAATTTGTGTGATGTGGTTTGCACTGAGAAACAATGGTGTAGGATGGTATCTGCCTCCCTTTCTTTCACAGCTTTCCAATAAAAAAAGCAATCCACTGGCCCATTTTCACGTCTGACCGTAATTGAACTGTGCATGACAATGAAACTGATGTTGAGGATTCCATTTATTCCCATACAATAGTTGTTAATGCTTTATTTGAAGTAATTGCTTTTATTTATTAAATGATTTTCTCTCAGACTACACCTGCTTGTCAATATTCACAGTTTGTTCACTGCCTGGCCCTTTAATGGTAATCTCTGATTAGTTGCTGTGTTCCCAGCCTTTGGAGTTTGTTATGATCTTTTAAAGAGGAAAGAGATGGAGGAGGATTGCAGTTATCTGTAAATAATTAGGCAGGTGGGCTCTTTATGCCAGCTGTGCAAAAAAAGAGTTCAGTGCTCTAATCAAATGCCAAATATGAGCTAATGTGTGCCATGGTTATTGAACCCTGTGAGGCTAAATATGAATAAGCATCCATTTTGCTATCGCTGTGACTAACGCAGCCATGGATTGATTCCATTTTATTCTGCATGGCTATTTTATCATTAGTTTCATTTGAAAGAAAGAGCAGTAAACGAATTTTTATGGTTACACGACAACAGTGGCGTGGAATGGTGAGTTTTATGAAAGGCTAATAAAAGTACTGATAAGAGTGTTAATTTTAACTTTTTGTAAAAAAACAAGGAAAACAAAGTAGAAACTCAGAAAGATTTGTGGCACGAAAAGAATATTGTATAAATCTGACTGCTGTTGTGCTTGCTCATATGGTGCCTAAACAAAGATAGGGCTTTTATTCATCTTGTTTGGAAACAAATACTCCCAGAAAAGACAGTATAGTGATTTTTGTACCTCATTTTCAACGAATTTCAGGGATCCTTCTTTAAGGAAATAGGAAATATTTTTCAGGAGGTGGAAATTTAAGGGAATTGAGTGTGTGAATCCATAAAATCTGAAAACTTCAGGCTCATTTCAAAACTATTTCAGAAAGAATCCAATTTTCTTGATAATCCCCCTAGCAGTTTTCCTTTCAGGTTATTGCTCTCAAGGTCTACAGTGCCACAGCTGCATGCTCTTAGTTGTCTGATCATCCTATACGTTTACCTATGCTTGGTGACCACTTGGGATCTCTTTGGACCTATGCCACTCGGCCTCCTCCTATACATTTGACTCCCATTTTCACGTCTTGCACCTCTAAAATGGGAGTACATGTATGTGCTTGGACATTATGTTGAAGTTCATCTGAGTGAAAGACAGTATAGGTATAATGGGTTGAAAATGTGATCCCATGTGAGATGAGTTGCGTGAAGAATATATGCAGCTTCAGGGTGTATTATGGACCCTCAAAGTCAGAGGGTTCTTAGGGAGGCATAGGAAAATAGACATGCTGAAGAAGTAGGTAGCAACGTCCACCAAGGCAGATGTCAGAAATGGAACAAATGTTATTGGGAGAAATCAGAGAGAACTGACTCTGGATTCCCTGCTGAAGAGGAGGATGAACTGCTGCTGCCACCCACCATAAGGCTGCAAGTCCACATTTTTCAGGTGGGATGAATAGCAGGATTATGCTGACCCCTGAGGGAGAAGGAGATGTCTGGGTGCTGAAGTGTCAGTTTACAAATGGAGGACTACCCTCTACAGGTATGTGATGAGAGGCTAGCAAATGGATCTCTTGTTATATATTCAGCAAGGAAACAAGTAGTTACTAATTTTATGATATTAAACATACATTCATATGATATGAACATATATTTGTGTGATATGTATTGGATTCTTTTTGAACAGTGATAAACATACCATGAAGAATTTTAACAAAGTTTCTTTTTTTTTTCTTTTTTTTTTTTTTTCTTTTTTTTTTTTTTTCTTTTTTTTTTTTTTTCTTTTTTTTTTTTTTTCAAAAAGTTCTTTAAACAACACCTGTAATACATGAGTATGATAAAAACATTTAATACTGAAAGGTATTTGGTTGTTCCTTTGCTTTATGTTTTCAAAATAATCTGTGAGCTCCTCTTTCTTTTTTATCTTAATTTGTTAGGGTGGTTGGTATTCTATGAAAACCTGAGTTTTCTTGCTTTGGGTGGATTTGACTGTAGTGACACTTTGATACATTTCTTTTTCTCAGACAATGTAGTGTTACTGCGAAGTGGCTGCTTAAAGTAGCACCTACAAACTCAGACAGTCTGCTCTTTTCATATGTTTGGTCGTGTCTGTTGATTTCCCTCACTGACTTTTTTTTTTTCCCCCTCCTATTTGTACTGTAAAGGCAACACGTAAATCTTTGTTCATTCTGTTCCATTTAAGCCCTTAAAACACTTTTCTGGTGCACTGCCTCAGGCTTTCATTTACACTAGAGTGAGGCAAGCTTCCTTTCCAGTTATAATCAATACATAGATGAGCACAGAAAACTGAATTTTAAGGTTAAACAGGCCCTGGATTTTCATAGGTGTCTTGAATTTTGTTTACAGAAATAAAATAATCAAGGGCTTGTTTTGACCTGCAGAATCTTCCTCTGATGGCAGTGCCCCTCAAGGAATAAGGAGAGATTTGGAGCAAAGTAATCTCTAAAATGCTTTTTTGATTAGTCCTTTTGTTCCCTCTGTCCCTCCGGTGTTTACCTCATACACTAGTTATTTGACTTTTGAATTATAGACCTTTGAGAGTGACTGAGTTACCACAGTCCAGGTGCTAATTTATCAGCCATACATCACAGAGCAAGGGCAAGCCTCCCTCTTACATATCTATTTCCTGAACCTGTTCTTCTCCCACCTGGAGAGGTGGGAAAATTGAGAGAGATTTAAGTAGTCTTGGAAAATCTGCCTTGGCACTTCTCAAGGATGAGATGCCAGATTTCACAAACTTTCCTGGAAGATGGGTGGTATCTGTTGCAGAAATGAGTGTGGAGTCTGTGATTCGCACAGTTGGCTGCCGTGATTATCTAAAAGTAAAGTGAACAAACCCCCCCCACTGCAACCAGCAATGCCTTCCACTTTTATTTTATTTAAAAAACAGAATTTACTCTGTGCACTGTGCATTTTTATTGACCAAGGAAACTAGTAGTGAGCCCTTTGGCTCAAGCAACAGTTTGAACCACTGTCCCCTCTCTTCCCCAAGACTGAGAGCTGAACAGCCAACACCAAGTGCCTAAGTCTGGTCCCCAGCTCTTTTACCCTGCAGAGGAGCTCATCGGAGCCCTCTTGGGGGACTGCAAGAAAGATGACATATGCCATCAAGTAGAGATACTGTTGCCTTTAAGGTCAGAGCCATAGTCTGGAGCTGTGACAGATACAACAGAGAAGAGGCTGCTGCTTTGCTTCTCTCTCTGGAAAGCAGCAACAACTGGCTGGATTCCTTCAAAACCAGTATTTCATTACATCTGTAATGTTTATCTCCCTCAAGTTTCACTGTGTCAAGAGTTGTCTCATTAAAAGGCTGTGGGTTTTCCTTTTATTTATTTATTTTATTTTTTTTACCTTTATTTTCTGGCCATAAGTCTACTGAGGAATTTTACTTTCTACCACAAATGGAACTTTCTTGAGGCTTTGATAAGTAAAGTGGAATTGCTTTAGGGGAAGTTTCCTCCCTGATGATGATCACGTATACTACTACGTGTACGTAGGTAGATATATGAGGCAGATGGTAACAGACAGTTCTGCAAACTGCGATGTTTACTTCCCGCACATTCATGAATTTTTCAAAATTTGAAATTTCTTGAAGGATCTTAAATTGCATGTTGTAAAGTTTGGGGAAAAATATTTAAAGTTTATTTGATTTGCTTCTTCAGAGATGTAGGCTCTTTGTCTTAAAAAACATAGTTTATCCCTGAAGGGTTACGGTTGTCCTTAAATTTCTGTCTAGTGCCACCACACGTGGTGGCACCGTGTGGGGACCTCCAAGATCCCATCGTGTCTCCTCTTCCTTAACTAATCAATACGTGCCAGGGGAGAGGAGGTAGCAACAGAAGGCTGTGTGTGTCTTTCATCAGCCTATAATTTCTCTGTTTGGGTTTACAAGCTGCTGTGTGCTATGCGAATGGTGACACAAAAAAGAATAGAGGAGTGGCCTCAGATTTATATATGAATTGAAAATTGTTGGCTTGCAGATTTCAGTAAACATATAAATAGATATTTTTGTTTCTCTGTTTTTAGGAATACACTATAGATATAATTTTTGCCCAGACTTGGTATGACAGTCGTCTAAAATTTAACAGCTCAATGAAGGTGCTTATGCTTAATAGCAATATGGTTGGAAAAATTTGGATCCCAGACACTTTCTTCCGGAACTCAAGGAAATCTGATGCTCACTGGATTACAACTCCAAATCGTTTGCTTCGAATCTGGAGCGATGGAAGAGTATTATACACCCTAAGGTGGGTTTTTATTAGAAAAAAATAAAATTGTTATGACCAGGAATATAAAAATAATGAATATGTATCAAATCCTTGGCAACTCTTTTGTTGTGGAACACAAGAATTTGCAAGGGGTTCACTAAAGGAGATAAAAAGATTATTTTATCATGAAAAATGTGAAGTTAATAGTATTGAAATATATTGCCTGTACAATTGAGAAAAGACAATTGAAAAGGATAGCAAATTGTAACCATTTAGGTACAGGCAAGATTAAAAAAATAAGATGTTATATAGCATATAGTACCATGGTGGTCTGTCACTAATGTATTGCAGACTTTCTGTTCTAAATATGTCAGTATCTAATATCCACCAAATTATATTCTGTAAATAAAATATTAAATGCTTCAGATAATAAGAATCATAAGAAGCTTGATTAAAGCTAAGGCCCCAGTCCTGCGTTACTTTTTAACATGTTTACCCTTGCAAGCTATTGAAATCAACAAATCTGTTCATCCAAATTATGCATAAGCAAACATGTTGGTGATAATTCTTCTTGGCAAATGGGGGATGCTTGGGCTGTTTTTAAGCTTTCCATCTAGGCTATCCATACTGATCTTTGAGTCACTTTTTAAAAAGTTCTTGGAAGGCTGTCATCTACAGAAAGTATTTTAGTGTAATCTCTCAGTTATATTTTTAAATGTGGCTAAAAAATCGTGCAATAAATAATGAGCTGATCAAGAAGCAGCCTATGCAGAGGATGCCATAAATCTGATTCTGCTGTTAAGAGTTTAAAATAACAAACAAAAAGTAGCACCTTTTAATTGCTTTCTTTTCAGTCATTTATGCTGTTTTCATATGCAGGCTAGTTGTGTTGTATGAACAATTTATAAAAGTATTCTGCATCAGAAATAAGAAGAATTAGAATGTTTCAAAAGGATTCTCTTCACTCAATTTTTTCTTAGTACGCTTCATCTGAGAGCATAAAAATATCTCTGAAGAGCACTTTTTAAAAAATTTATTATGCTGGTGTTTATAGAAGTCTCTAAAAAGCCTCTTCTGTTGTCATGCTAATATTTTTTTTTCTTTTTGTAGCTAACAATTCTACTTGGACTTTACCATTCCAGTGTCCATTGAGTTTCAATGTACAATTTGCTTTAAACAGGCTCTAAGAGAGAGAAACAGATAAATGCAACAAAAAAACCCACCTGGGCTCTCCCAGAGCAATAAATTAGAATTACTGTGCTAGAGTATGAGCTATGAAGTGCAATGAGCTAGTAATAGAACAGAACAGCAGAACAGATATTCCCCAGCACTGTAACATGCAAACATCTGTGTAGGTAAGGATAAGGCCTGAATTTGGCCTAAGATGGAATAACATTGAGATGTTCATATGTTGATTATTGAAGGAACAATAATAGGATCTGACAGTGTTCCAGGTTCGCGGGCTCCCCTGTACCACCACTCTTTCCCCCTCGGTAATTCAGGAGCAGATGTAGTAATTCTGTTAGTCAGGTTTACTGAGTCTCCTCTGAGGGTAGTCCTTGGTCTGTCCATTGCACCCACCAGTGAATCCAGATCTAGTTGTGTTGCTTCCAATGAAAGTTTGGTTTTGTTTTCTTTTTCTTTAAGCATTTGACTATCCAAAGGTTGAATATGGAAAACAGAGGCAATAAAATGCATATACCATAGTTGGCAAACTTGAAAACCGTCTTCAGAGGGATTTTAGTGTTTTACTCGGAAATGTGTGTGGAGTGTTTTCTTCCCCCCC